AAGACAACCACCAAACCAAAATCCTGTTATTGTTCCTGCACAACAAACTCAAATATCTGCTCAAAATAATCCCATTAAAATGCCAAATCAGATACACTCTACTTCTCAGTCAACACCTGGGACTCCTATGCAATTACAGGAACAGACACAAGTCCATCCTGTACAAAGATCTCCGAGAACTCCAATGAAATCTCCTGCACCACCCTCAAGAACATCTGCTCCTTCAACACCTATGCCATCAGCTGAACAAGTTCAAATTACACAACCCTCACAACGATCAGCACCAAATACACCTATGCAATCTCCTGGACAAATTCCAGGCCATTCTCCTATCGTGATAACATCTAGACCAGTAACAAGTCAGCATCCAATTCATAATGACATACAACTAGCTTCTGCACAAAATACTCCACAACCAAATGGCGCTGGCCAAAGTATCACTCTTAGTAATGGAAGAGTAATTAATATTAATCAGTATTTAGCATTACGTCGAATGCATCAGGCTGCTCAAGCACAATTATCTGGTCAGATACGTGGACAGGTTCCCAATCAGCTAGTGAATCAAGTAACTAACCCTACAGTGATTCAGAGACGATTCACACCTCAAGTGCAAGTTGGTAACTCGCAACAACAGCAAGTTGATATGATGATGGCTACGCAACAGCAAATAATAGGTAATAATCAAAGTGTTATGGTTCAGCAGCAATTTCCCATAAATCAACAACAATTGCAAGTGCAAGGGATGATTTCAGAGCAAACACCACAACTGCAATTGAACTTACCTCAAATGGTACAGGTTTACAGAGCAATGCGTCCAAATGTTGTTCAACGACAACAAGTTACGCAGCAACAAATGACTCTCAATACACAACCATTTCCAAATAATAATCAATGGGTTTTTCAACAACGGCCGTGGAATGGAAGTTAAATTTAACGGAAGTTTTACAAGTGTAGTACAGTCAGATCTCCCTAAATGCATAGCCGAGGAGTCTATATAAAAAAAATCAAAAAATATTGCATTTAGAGAAGTATTGCATGTAGGGAGGTAAAAAGCCATATGTATCATATGAATTGGGGCCAAACAAGGCCATGCATTTAGAGGTTCTTCATAGACTATGCATTTAGGGAGTTGCATTTAGAGAGGTCTGACTGTAACTGAAAAACGAGATTGCGAATTAATGTTTAATTTGGAGTCTTCTTACAGCTTATTAACTTATTTTATAATTTCTGTGAACGTTATTCGAATTTTTTTTTTCAGAGAAAAAAAAAATTCTTAGAGAATATGGGATAATTAAATTAATGTTTATACATAATTTTTTTTAAAAAATATATATATTATGTAGTATCGCATATTCTCGTTTGTTATATAGCTTAATAAAATAATTAAGACTATTGTAGTCTCTATATGTATTTATGTCAATTACATGCAAATCGAGACGATGTGGCTGTTTAGCTGATTATAGAATTGAAAAGCATAGAATTATTATACTTAAAAATGACATTTTTATTACATATTGACATAGAACAATATTTAAATTATTTTTATCACATAGACCTTTAAAATATTGAAAATCACACAGAGCTTAATACTTAAATATAGCAATTCTAGGATTATAACATTAGAAAAATAAGATTCTTGGAAAAGATGGCAAAAACATAATAGGAAAAGTTCTTTAAATCATGAACTTTATATGTACATACCAAACCCAACGAGTTATGACATTTATACATAACGCACTCCTGCATCTAATAATAAAATATTCGCCTTAAGTACTTTCCCTTGATCCAAAACATATTTTCCCATTCCAACCAGAATATACGTTGGATTCGAATCCGTTTAATGAATTTCGAATCAAATTGATTTCGAATCTTAAAATAAAACAAACCTTCAATAATCATAATTCTACAAAGGTTTCTTGACTCAATGTGTCATACCAAGAATATTATTTCAAAAAGCAAATTTTTTATAATCTGCTGCATTTACGCGAAACAACGCCCATGAGCGTTATTTTGAGAAAGAGAGCTAACAATTAATTTCATCAAAATTCTTTTAAAAATAAAATTATTGATACGCATTCGATTAAATTGATTAACTCTTTAAATTGCGTGTCTCAAAATGACGCCATGGCGCAAATACAGTTAAGTATTATTAGATGAGATAATTCGACTATGGCGCAAATACAGTTAAGTATTATTATATGAGATAATTCGACTATGGCGCAAATACAGTTAAGTATTATTAGATGAGATAATTCGACTATGGCGCAACTCCACAATAGATCATTTACAATGTAAATGGAATACATACGTACTTAGCCTTAGCTGACCTTCAATGTGAATGAAATTATGTCACTAGGAAGTAGAGATGCAAAATCGGCTGATTGGCTTGTATATTCAGTATAATAAAAACCGATTAATCAATAGAGCCGATTAGAGAATTTCTATTTGTACATGGGCAATATAGATACCTCAAAATTTTGATTACGAAACCACCTTTTGGCTTCTAACAAAAAAAATTCCTTGTGAAATTTTGGTATAAACTATGCATAGCCCAATCCCAAACCAACCCTTACCCTGGCATGTTACACGAATTTGTACAATTCAATAAATTTATTAACACTACTTGTAAAAGAGATGGCAAAAATCATGATTGAAATCAAATTTTGATTTAAAAATGATTTACGTACAAATGATTTAAAACATTTGATCTTTATTACGTAATTCAATTATTTATGTTCAAATTCTGACTTGAAAATAAAATCAGTATTTATATCATTGTGATTTAAATCACATGCCATCCCTACCAGGGCCACGTAAAATTTTGGAAAATTTTGATTTTGGCCGGCATTACAAAATTTAACTTATAATTTAGGCCATGCCACATGACTAGTAATGATCCGTGTCCTGGGATCCCAAAAAATTTCAAAGATTAGAAAACAATAAATTGCAATTTTTAGTGAATTTTGTTCTATAAAACAATATTACAACTTTTTTATGCATTGTAAATTGTACAAAAATTTGATTGGCTAGCTATTTTAATACACCAATCATATTTGTGTATTAGTGTAACTATATGTACTCATAACCACTTTTTTTAAAACAAAAATACCTGAAAAGTTCCATTGTAGACTATAAATAAATATTAAATTTTAATTGGCAAAAATAATATCAAAATTAAGCAATTTAATATAATAAAAAAACATTTTATTGATATTACAATAAAAAATATTTTTTGCTATTATTTAAAATATTTTTTTCTATTACTCAAATCAATTTTTTTAGATTTTTGGTCTCTGGTCTATAGATCTGATATCCTGATTACAAAGATAATAAATAATACTATATATATATATATTTTTTTTTAATGTTAAAGTGATCTCTTGGTTATGTTTCTTTTATTCGATTATAGTTATAATTTTTATAGTATAATTTCTATACCATATACTTATTTGGAGAGTATAACTAGCTACATGTACAACTTTTGGTTGCCTATTTAAATAGTCTGCTTATTACTAAGTTCTACACTAGATATCATATCTATAACCCAACTAGAGGGTTATCTATTTAAACCCTCTGTGCCTATATGATTACTCTATTAACC